AAATCAACATCAAAGATGATGTAGGAAATAGCGACAATGATAGTGGGTGAACGATAGTTACAGGTCAGGATCGTGTGTTGAGACGTCGTCCAAACTTCGGCGGTCTGAAAAAGAAACGCATGTAACTAAAAGGTATTCCTTAATACCATCTGAAACCTTGTAGTCGCTCATGCTCTGACCCCTCACGTGAAATACCACATAGTTTAACTAACAGGCATGTACGAAGTTGTGTGTGCCTCTATTGTTTTTAGTGCAGTTCATAGTAATTCACATTTTGCTGTCATTTTATCTATAGACCAAGTTTATTCATCGGACTCGGCACTTGAGAAGCTCATGTACCAGGACGGTGTGCTAATGGATCTTACAGCAGCGTGGTCTACGTGCGCACGGAAGTTAGCGTAGGTGATTTGTTTTTAGTTTGGCATTCAGTTCACAGGCCTGTGAACACATTACCTGCTCAGGATGCATCTCTAGGCTTAATTACTGACGCTGCTCATTTACGCCAAGCAATGTTTTCACAAGGAACTCACTTGATTGCTTGTGGATGGGCTTATTTTGTTATCTTTGTAAACGATGACACCACTGCATAACTACGCAATGAATAAAGGAAGAATGATTTCAGAATAGAATGCATTATTGAGTTCAAATGCCAATTAGTTTCCAACCACCCTTATTTGACATTATTTTTATTTAACTATGCACAGTTATGTGAAGTTCCTTCTCTGAGTTCGAAGGTGATTTGCGAGGCAGTGTTTACTAACATGTTACTTTGTGAATTTAATGTACTGCAGCTAGTGAGTCTCAATATCTATAAAACTAATGGTCTCGATATCACATAATCACTTTATCATGACCAGCATATACAAGTCGGCTTTCCCGACAAATTTCTGAGTTTTTTACCTACGAAACCACCCTCTTCATTTGAGCAGATAACCTGCAATCAATGAGGACATTATGATGGACAGATTATTTCTTGTCTTAATCGGTAAGGAAGTGAAATAAACAATCAACAATGACGTTACATAGGCGAGGTGGCATTGGATCATCTGTGTGATTTCTCAAGTACTTCAAAACGCGAAAAACTGCTTACAAGTTCATATATCACGTGGATAATGGTGTGGAATGGCGTGGCGAAATTGCTCTTTTTGCATAATCAGTTATCACTGCCGAATTGAATTTGTAATGTTGCCTTGTTGGCAGTATAGTGCATGTAAACTAGTGTAAAAACAACTAACGTATTCCATCGCAAGTCAAAAATTTGCATTTTGGGGGAAACCATCAAAGAATATTTTACATTTTAGACTTATCGATAAGGTTCTACGTCAGAAATTAGAGCACCTTCCTCCTGAGACCAATGTCTAGTATAAATCATATACTACTTGATTCGAACTCTTTCATCACACTTTCGTCTCGTGTGTTTGGACTTTTCCTACGGTTCAATATTCACTTTTAATTCCCTTCTTAAGAGTGCCTGTTTTGTTTAAAAAGGGATTGATCAAAAGCAATGCTTTTTCGCTAAAATCTTGATTTCAGTTGAATGTTCAAATGCAGGCTGTACGTGACAAGCATTCTGTTTTAATTGTGCGTCTATAGGCGCACATCGTAAAACCGCAGAAATTATGGCAGGTTAGCTAGTATATAGTAGTAATACAATTGGTTGATTAGGTAATAGTATTTGGAAATGCAGACTTTTTAGAGCAAAAGCATTTCATTTACAAATTTACATTGTCGCTGGTAAAAAGGCGTTATATCTAAAATAATTATGTTCATTAAAACGCATGAATATAAGGTATGTGGGATCGTTTTCAAAGATATCGAGGTCAGGTCGAATCCCCGAAAAATGGCCAACTTTATTTAAGAGTTTGGTTGTCCTAGGTAGGCTCTGAGGCGCTGACCGTGAGTATACACCTACGTCGATACCGAATCAGGGCATATTTCAACTTAAGATATTCTGGTGAACTCGATACAGATAGTATTAAGGTAGTGGCGAAAACAGTAAGGATGAAAGATGTAACAGTAAAACGGCCGAATTCCGAAACTTTTCTGCGTGGCACTTGATATCGGTCGGGTAAATACTCTCCTTAGGCATTTACATACACTTAACATAATCGGAATGCGCGCCCCATTGAAAAACCCGTTTTACTTTCGCACCGTCTACAAGTTATTAACACTACGGTGATTACATCGCATCCTCTACGGCATCCTCACTCAAATCGACCAATTGAATCTGTTTTTGGCTCCTGTATTCTGCCGACCCGTGGCTTCTACTCTTTGCCAAGCTCTTTAGCGACATACTTCCACGTATAAGGTAGACGATTAATGCTTGCACGCAACGTGATTGAATTTGCCGTTTTTGGCCATATGATTCCGTCAATTAAGATCCTTAAAGAGCCATCACTGAAGACCGAGGAGTAGACCCTAAAAGCACATCCCATACATTTGAATTGGTATTTCTACGAATACGCAAGTAGCACACGCATTGCAGACTTCTACACCCATGGCTTTATTACCACGACACAGCTAAGCCACAGTGCATACAACCACTTAGTCCACCCTCTAACGACCAATTTAGACCCAGCCAAGTAGGTTATCGAAACCCACCTACCTATTAGAGAGAGTGAACAAGTATACACGAACATAGTCCGTAAGAGTTATCAAATTAAAATCACACCAGGGACAACGTTTTTCGGTTGAATGTCGAATAATTAAGCATGTATTTACAGAAATAAAGTGGGGCATAAATCGACATCTTGATCAAAATTTGTCTATCACCAGGCCCCAGAATTGTCCGAAAGCACTGTTTACTCATTTGTAGAGTCAGTGGCGGCGGAGGCGGCTGCGTCTCTTTCAGCTGACATCCTTTCATCCGCCGTGATAATCTCCGTAAGCTCCACCAGGCACTCTAGAGGCAGTTTGCGCAAATTGAAGGCGATTATCTGAGGGCAATCGTACTCAGCTCCCTCAGGTGTAAGTACGTCGATTGCGTCGTCTCCAACATTTGCATATCGTTTAAGCACTTCTGCCATGTGGATGGCCATGCATTCGTTTTCCAGGCAGAGAAGACGGTCAAATAAGCTCTCCAGCGCTGCGTCGTCCAAATAAGCTCCATCAGCAGCACTTGTAAAGACACCTGTAGTATTTGTGTTCGGAACTACCACCGAAGGATCTGAGGCGGCTTCTGCGGACATAGGGGGAGTGGAGTCAGGTGAAAGACTAGGATGAGACGAGGGTTCCTGTGATGACTGTTGATCCATCTGTGGATTCTGCATCTTATTCTTCATGTTCTCTGTAGGGGACTCATCATGACTTCGTTTTGTAACACTGATCGGTTCCTCCATGCGGCTTTTCGAGATCACGCCTCTGTCCTCGTCGCTTTTACGTTCTAGAATGTACAGAATACGAGGATGTTGACCACTATTTTTTGTGTTAAGTGCCAACGTAACATGAGAGGATCTCACCCAAACACTGGGTTGCAGGGTTAAAATTAAAATGCTAGGACAATAAAGTGAAAGTTGCTGAACTAGGAGACGCGATCACAATGAAACGATGAGAAAACAACTGCTATACAAACCAACAGGTGTGATAAGTTGATCAAAAATAAGCGAAAGCTGTTTATGAGGAAGCAAGCAGATAAAAAAGATAAAGGTTCAGCAAAGTTTCCAGTAAACACGCTACAAGGAATACGAACTTTGACTTGCAAATGGTCGTAGCCTGCGCTGTTTATAAAAAAGCAACAACTAAACGGCAAAATCTCACCTGTACCGGATAAAGAAAGCATTTGAAAACTACTAACAACAACAGGCAATGTCAAAAAGGGAATAAGTATCAGTGATGCATTTTAAAACTGGCTTGACGTTAGGCAATATAGGGCTAGTCGTGCAAGTCCACTCGAATAAGCAGTAAAACACACGGATGGTAGCCATCGCAACACGATATAGATTAGTGGCTTACTTAAGGCCTTTGTCGAAACCGCACCATATCCACAAGGAGACGAAGTATGTTTTATAAAGGAATGGGAAATCGCTGATGGTGGGGTGATTTCTTTGAAATTGTTTTGCTCTCTATTCTGAAGGCAGTAGTTTCCTTCTGTTGGGGGTTTATTGAGGACGGAGGGCTCCTGTGCAGGCGGGACCGAAGGGTGGGGCGAGAGGACGGACTTGGGACTGGTGGGGTGAGGAGGAAGTGGAGAAACGAGGGGTTGCGGTCCACCGGTTAGGTGGGAGATCCACACCATTGTAGCATGCTGTGGATCGAGATGTGGAGAGCCAGCGGCTTCGGCTGGATTTCGCTGAAAATTAACAGACTTCCTTACATGAAATAATCAGCTTAGGTAAATAGGTTAAAGGCAGAACAAGAAAAAAGGTGGCTACACACAAAGGCGGTTAGAGATTAATCGATCGAAGCCGGAGGTTTATCATTGGTGGTGGGTAAATGCATAGAGAAAAAATATATGAAATGAAAAACTTGGAGCGAAGAAATGCATTGCTTGCGTTTGTGAGATTGAAATGCTTAAGATGAAAGTACCAATTAAAAGATGCCCTAGATAAATGTTAACCCAATAACATGTTCTTGTGTCGGCGTGTTGTAATTTTACTGCATACTGAAAAAAGTAGTATCACTAAGGCATGACAAAATAGTAGATACAGAAACTGTTTAAAAAAAAGAATCGTAAGTGGGTGGTTTAATGTGTTAATGTCACCCGAGTACGAATTATAAAAAAAGGGCATTTAGGCGCAATGTTTAATCATGGCGAAACACACCATTTGATCATGGAAGCCATCGCCAGAAGTCCGCTTTGTGTTTCCACTGCCATTAACTGGTTCTTCGAGAGAGCCGAAAATTGATCGAGAAACTGGAGATGAGGATGACGCGGCCGCTCCATCTTCTTCATTACATGCTGGGTGTTGATTAGAAAGGGCAGGAAAGAGCCCATCTGTCGGTTTGCACAGCCTTTTACCTCGATCACCAGAAGCATCAATTTTGCCGAAGGCCGTCACCGGAGAGCTCTGAGCATGAGAGGGCGACTGAATCAGAGTTACGGCGTTTGCATGCTGTAAGTAGATAGCGAAAAATAGAGAACTTAATAGAGAACTTAAGATATGTCTAGGAGGGAATTTTACTGTAATATGTTTCAACCAAATGAACAGAAATTGTTGTATTCCAATTGCGATTTGCGTGTAGCTATCAAAGAATTGAGCCAAAATAATACGACTGCTCTACGAAATTGTTTGCATCGTTAACAAACATTCAAAAGCGGGTAGACTAACAGTGTATGGAGTAGCGTCGGATTGTGACCCACTTGTCGATCGAGTCTCCGATCGGTGATGATGATGGTGGTGGCGTTTATGTTTTTTCTTGATTTTCTTCACTTTTTCCTCACCTTTCTTCAACTCCGACCGAGAGAGCTTGATAACAATGCGTTCTTTTTGTGCAAGTGGATCCAGATGCTGACTGGTATGCGGCCGTGAATTACTAACTTCACTCAGATGCTGGTTCTCAAAACGCAGCTGGGCCTCGTGTTTCAACTGGAGCTTCTTTTTGTGTTTTATGGAAGAGGGGAGCTGGGAAGGAAGATGTGAGGTAGAGGCGCTGGTTAACGATAAGGGAGCGGTGAGGGAAGACGTCGGAGTTGACGAGGGAGTGATGGGCATGCCGAGATTCGCTAGAGCCTGGGATCGGCTCTCTCGGCCAAGGCGGTTACGCAGTGGAACAGGAGAGTGTGTTTGGCTAGAGCAACGAACTGCGGTGGCAAGAATTGCCTGAAAGTACACAAACCAAAAAAAATCAAGTCAGCATTATATAAAGTAGATCAGACAGATAAAAAGGAAATACAAATCACATTGTATGACTGCATTATGACTCATTTTGCATTCGGATTATTAGTGGAAGTACACGAAGGCAAGGTGAGTTGACATCACAAGGAGTTTGGTGTGGGCTCCGGTGTGGTTTGATATCACATGCCGGGGTCGCTGCGTTGAATTGGTTCGTTCAGACTACACAGATGCCCAAGGAGATGAAAAAGACCAGAGACGGCGGAGACGTTACCCCTTACCAGATACCTCAAACAAGTTGTTGATGTTATGTTGCATTTGCGCTCGTGTTTATAGCTCAGATGTGTGAAACAGCGTGGGCCATTGATGTGCTAACATCGAAGCTTATAAGAGCACAGTACAATGTATCATGATAATCCAGAATAAGCGTTCACGTTAATCACATGAGAGTTAAGGTTCCCGATGCCTGACGGTATGCTGCGAAATAGATGCAGTGTTTCGGAGAATGAAGCGACCGGATTACTGAGCGTGAAACAACGCGATTAACAATACATGCGTAGGTAACCAAAAAACGTAGACTAGAGAGAAGTAGCGATTAGCTTAAGGGAATTTATAGTCGCCTAATTAGACTATACTAAAACCGATTGACCCATGAAACACGCTACGACAAGCTAGCGGCAATCAGAGGATGGAAACTCACCGACATGAATGAGTGGGTTCGTTGTGGCATGTCAGCTTGGCTTACCGCCACCGTACACAGGTCTGCTTATGCTCCAGACTATTCATCAGGAAGCCATTCCGGCTAAGAGTTCCAGAAAACTACTTGATGGGACCCCACAAACGTTGAACGAGGCTAGCACAAAACCACTAGGATTGCTCAAAGATAATTATGTGGCGTCATTGGATAGGTGAGCCACCAACAGGTGTGCATGAATTCGGCTCGATGCGCCTGTAAATAACATTTCCAAGTTGCTGTTTTGTCGACTAAGCACAAAGCATGGGCACACTCGCATGCAACACTCCCCGGACGAGGTAGGACACAAGACAGAGAAGTGTGTGAATACTGGTTGACAAACTTTGCATTTAGATTGGATGAGGAAACTGCGCCGGAATGGATGAGCATTTAATTGTCAGGACAGACGCTGAAGCAGCTGCCCTCGAAAAAACCGAAGGAAGCGTTTCACCTCTAGCCCATTAGCATGCCTTGCTTTCTTAATGCGAACGATAATAAGATGAGGTTGTCACCCAAGATTTGGGTGAGCACCGCTGCGGTTAACGTTTACACAAACTCTGCTGCGATCTGTGGAAATATGCGTGTTAGCTTAGTTGGATCCAGGAAGGGTTTAATATAAGAAGTCGTGTCTTAAAGATTAAGTAGAGAACAGACCTATATTGCTCAGCTGAAGAGCAAAAGAGTGTAAGGTAATACAGTCAACTCAAAAAGAAACAATAAAAAAGCCAACCAAAGATTAAAAATAGCGACCTACTTCTGATAGCTCGGGGTAGAAGGAAGAGATTGTAAGGTTGCCGTTTTTGCTGGACATTTGAATAAGATCTAGCACCCTTTGTTGAATATCTTGAATAGAGGCGGTAGTGGGAACAGGAATCTATGAGGTAAGGGGGAAAGTTACATGTAAATATTATGGAAAGGTTTGTGGTCCTGACATCAGTTTACGTTACCGGTTGCTCTCTCCAAATAATCGGGATTCGGAGCACCAAAAGAAACCTTTTACAACACAGTACAACTATGAATATGGGTACTTTGGGTGTAATTTTGTTACCCAACACCAATGAATGAATATAGTGGGAGGAGTTAAGATGGATTGAAAGTTAGGTTTGGATAAACTTTATAGTAGTTTAAGTTACTGTGGAAAGTTACCAAAAAGCCATGGCCGAGACACAAAACCAAGATCTACTTTAGCTGTAAAAAATTCCCAATTAACGGAGCATGAGTTTATAATCTGTTCTGCAGCTCGAGTTACGGCAGTAATGGACTCCATTTCGTCAATTCAAGCAAGATTGGTAGATTTAAAAAGTCAAAGGTTGAAATTGCATTGATGAGGGATTAACCCTTGATTCGCAAAAAAATGTTAGCAGCCAGACAACAACTCAGCCTACAAATCGGTGGTGTGTGAGTTAGGCGATTGAGAGATTAAAGAACTCAGTATCGGCACATTTTGAATGCTACGTGACAAACAGAAGACTCACTCCGCCAACGTTGGTGTAGAGGATCCAATCCTCGCTGTCCTTGGGGTCAATGCGAACAGTGCGGAAGGCATGAAGCTCGCGGCGATCAAACAGGGTGAGGTCATAGGTTAAATCAGCAAAGACATTCAAGAAGTACACCTGTGCACGCAGACAGAAGCTACCAAATCCATCCTCTTCAATAGCAAAGGGTTCCTTTATCACAACTAAAATGTTTCCGAAAAAAAATTAACATTATATGGGTTTCATCTAGAAGGGAGTGAATCTATCAAACGCGATTTTGTTTGCCTTTTAGGCAAATAACGGTCTCCTAGAGACAACTAAAGAATAAGATTGCCTGGTTAAGTGCCAACACCATTTGGAAGCCTAAATAAGCGGTTATATTCACGGAAGCGCCATTAAACAGATTTATGGATAACTAAAGCCATAAATTCAGATGAAATACGGTGAGAAACTAATAACGACTTTAATCTTTAATAAGTCAAATACGACACAACCTAGATTATTAAAAAATTTAAGCACCCAAAACGTGATTAAGTGATCAAACCACATTAAAATGCTCATTTATAAGAGCTTGTCAACACTACGCTAGACAAATTAATTTGCAATGAAACAGTGCCAGCCCAAGCGTGAATGCAAGACATTAAGAATACAAGTGTACCTTGTCTGGGATTTTTGAATGTCTCGTGAAGGTGGAACACAACGCTATTAACAAAGGTTGACAGGGGGTACCGCTTGCTCCAACTGTCGACATAAAAACGCCAATGGTGGGTCTTTTCTGGGGTAGGATTTCGTTTGCGATACACACTGTGGCCAACCTTGAAAACGAACAAAATCTAGAAGGTAAATGAAAGGAGCGAAGATAATTTAGATTCAGCTTGAAAAGGTTACCATTGAGAAGTAAACAATGACGCTGATGTTAAACTGTCTTTGTTAACACACGCGTGCTAATGGGTCCAAGTCTGCCTTAATTAGAACTCGTGTGTTATAAGCTTTTCTTCTGTGGTCAACTGACAAATTACTACCAAACTTTCGGGAAATGACTCCTCCAGTAACCGGTTGTGTTTAGAATTGGTACACTCTCTACAGTTGTCTCCATAAAAACGCAGCTGCACTTCCGCAAAACCATTACTACAAATTCTCATCCATGAATAACAAAGACAGAGACAATCTAACAATATACACATATTAACGAGAAAAACGACTGTTGCAATAGCAAACAATCAAGCTCCATATTCTTTGAAAAAGGACTGTGAATATAGTAAAAACCTCCACGAGTCCTGTCAAACCTTGTGGTCTGGCACCCTAAATATGGCAAAACAAGTGCCTACATGAACTGACGAAAGTGAGCACTACGGGAAACAGATTACGAAACGAAGCCAGAATCGGTAAAAAACAAAGAAACCTGACAAACTAATAGACGGTCACATAAATCTCATAAATTCCACGTCATAATAAGCGACAGAAATGTAGTACTTGTCGAATGATCGCAATTGGTAATTTTATGACTGAAAACAAGGATAACCACGAATTCCGATGAATGGTAGCTTCATGGCAGCAGAGTTGGCTAACTGGAATACTTTGATGCCAGGTTCGCATACACTAAGTTAAATTAGTAGGCGCTAACCGAAATCTTTAACATTAGTAATTTGGTTGCTGCAATAAGGTTCAGCACTTACGAACATGAGAAGTCTGTATTCCAGATACTAGATTCACTGGATGAAACATGTTACCGAAACGTAGAAGCGCATAAACAAAGTAAGCAATCGTCTTGTTTCGACAAAACACTTATTGTCACAAGTACGATTAACTCCAACACACATGCAACACGAACCCCACTCGAGTGCGTGCATAGCACCTTACGGGCGCAGGATTGAAAACGACATTCTCATCTTTCTTCATGGACAAGGACTTAGGTATTACATATACTTTCACATCGCCACTACTTATGAGAAGTCGGAAGGAAAAAAAAACGCGGAGCTGTCATTAGGCCACTTGAACTTCACACCCACATATAGTACATAAGAATAAAAACGCTGAGTTAATAATAACAGAGCCTAAAGACTTGGGACACAATGAAAACTCAATATTCAGTCATCAACGCCAAAACTCCAGTCGTTGGCACTGGGAACACGAACGTGCAAGAGATAATCGATACGTCTTCGTGTTGGTCAGAATATGGCACCGAGAAAGCACATCAGTGAAGGGAACTAAGTGCAGCAAACACAAACAAAACGATCGATTATAGTAAAAACCTACACTACTTTAAAAAGTCAGATGGTATAAAATGGATAAAAATACGTTTAAAAAAAATTGTTAAATCGGACATACCTGAGCGTCCATAAACGCCGTTTGATTACCCAATGGAATCAAACTTGGCTCAAAATGTCCCCGCAAAGTAAAATAACTATGTTTTCGAGAAAATTTCAAATTAGCATCCTTAAAAAACAGCTACAACGTATAAACACTTAATTAAAAAAGTTTTCAAATTAGAACTCAGGGCTTTTATGCTTGATTTTTAGTTGTTCTATAATCCAAATATTCCAAAAAAGGAAATTTCATTGAAATGCCAACGATTTCCTGTTTAGGCATATCTTTTGTGTAACTTAGTCACAGACAATAAACATTAACATAGGAAAAGGAAATATTAAATAATAAATGCTTCAAAATATGTCTCAGTATAATAAACAGTGTATATCCCTGAGCTCTGCCCTCTACAGCGGGAAAATTTTAATTTCCTATAATCCTGTTGGATTAGACAGGTTCTTTCACACATTTATTTAAAAGATTTTGCATTAAAGCCAGATGTTGATATGCCGGGGATATGGCTGACACAATAGCTTCGAAACAGCTAACGGATATCATGTAAATTCGTTACATAATTCCAACTTCTCGCCATAATCAAGGTTATCAAGAGCGATTTATCGAAAGCAGACACTTTGTTCTTCAGCAACCTTTAACCTAAGATGTTTAATTTGTACCGCAGGTAAAACAGCTCATTGATGTTTTATTAATGTTCGCCACATGGAAATCATAAGCTGAAACATCCGTTGATGGCCAAAAATTAACGTTTCTAAAGGCCCAATAAAGGTGTAATCCGAAGCAACCACAAAACACGAAGATATCTAATGCAATACATTTGCAAAAAGAAGGCACTGGCCATTCGATCAAATAATGTAGACATATAAAACTAATTTAATTTTACGGAATCAGCCGCATTTTAGCAGACTTCACCCTACAAGACTGTGTGATTTGATATTGACTTTCCCTTGTTGCAGTCTAACTTAAGTGATTATCTGAACATTTTTGAACTTATCGACTAATATAATCAAACTTGAAGTGGAACAAATGCCTTTCTCTAATTGCATCAGAAGAGGTAGGAGTTTAATTACATGGTTACATGACCTATTCAACAATACGAAATATCTTGTCAAACGCGGCAGGTCACATTTTAATGACTGATATCTTTGAATATGCAACATTTCATAAAAATATCATTGCCAACAGGCTCTTTTGGGCAACGCTAAAATTCAGTTCGGGGCAACTCAACTGTTCTTTTACCATAAATGGTTTTGAAGTGCAATAGATATTCACTTGCTAAGATTTTAATTTTAGGTTACCTTGTCCAAAATGGACAAATACATGAAACTGTTTTTATTCGATTTCACTACAAATGTGTACGCGTCCAAGAAATATCACCGTTTTGAATTCGATAAAGTGTAATAATTCAAACCAGTCGATTATCTCGGAACAGATTCTTTAGAGCTATTTTATTAACCAATACCTACCAATTTTAGCTTGAGTAATGAAGATATACAGGAATTCCATGTAAATGCGATCAGTTATGTATAAGCATTCATTAATATAACAGTCTTATGTATGATCAATATCGCTTGGGTAGGTGAGCCAATCTTTGTTTTAACTTTACAAGCATTTGTATGGAAAATGTGTTAACTTTGCTTTTAATCGATAATTGACTTTTATTATTTCTTTATAAACACTTTACTCAAATCAACAATTATCACATTTTCCTAACCTATAAGCGCATGAACTGTCATATTCGTTGGTGACTTCAATTTCTTTTAGGGATGTTGCCATCAACATACCAGGTTTCAAGCTAAAGCAAGACGCACTACCAAAGGGGTCTTTTAAATAGGTAATGCTATCAAACATTTTACTATTTAGGCTTAGGGAACTTTCTCGCTTTTTTGCCATACATTAAGATTTTTCAAATCAGCAAAAAATTTCAACGTAACTTCTTAAATAATTACTGTTTTAGATTCTACATGTTGTTGAGAATTCTTTTTGTAATTAGCTCTGATCCTCTGCGTGCATACTGTTTTTCAATATTTTTCATGTCAATTATTACTTGGGTTTTTGAGCATACTTAAATTTAGAATAAATTAACTTCTGATAGTTTAAAATTAAACTCATGTTCACGAACAAATGTTTACGCAATCGTGGCTTCGTTTACTATATCAACAAATCTTGTAGGCAATGTAGCTTCGACTTGTCAGTAATCAAATCACTATCTCTGAAAACTATTCGTGGCAAATCAGAAAAAGCTCTTATAACACAACCAAATGCTAGTTATCTATTTTTATAAGTAATTATAATACATTAAATTAGTGACCAGACCTTACAACGAACTTCTTCAGCCTAGAAAATTTGAACGGAGGAACAGTTGTAAATTTTAAATGCAACCTTACTATATACATTCGATTCAACAAAGTAACGACTAACCGTCCATGGCATAGCATTAGGAAGTTCACTTGTGCCTACAAAGTCGATTGAATTGTCTCCACAATTTCCTGATCAGGTCGAATTCCATAAATGGAAATTTAAGTTACGACTTTAACTATCCCATCATGATATATTTGTAGTGTACTGTTTGCGAATGCGCGTAAGCGAAGCTTGTTCACGGGTTGATCTGGTGTCAACGCTTCACCCTTTCATTGGTCGCTATTGCCAATCGAATATAACGCTCAAGCACTTTCACACAGGCACACTTGTCTGGCCTGACGCGAATAAACGGTCTTAACCGCTGCCAACTGTGTTATCTCTGTTCCCGGGTTGTTACTTCTTCTTAGCTGTAGGGAGCAAATTATTTATCGTCCACTCGGTTCACGGTGTGCATGCGTCTGTAGGGTTTTAAGTTAAATTTAGTGTTACAAAAAGAATATAAAGGACAAAAAAAATAGAAAATACTTGTAACAATAAGCAAGACATTTACAGACCTGTTCGAAAATACTCCGTTAAATTAGGTCCCTGTGAAATTGCATCCCATTGGAAATGCATTAAATACTCTTTAAGTCAGAAGAAACCAGGCTGTCAATGCACACTGGTTCCAAAGTTCGTGATTAAACCTTTTTGATTATCTTATCATCATTGTACTTATCGACTAATTTCATCAAATTTGAAGTGAAATAAATACCTTTTTCTTATTGTATTAGAAGAGATAGGAGTTTAATCACATGGTTATAACAGACATTCCCTTGCTAAGGTTTTATTTTTATGTTGCCTTGTCCAAAGTGGGCTAACACCAAAACGGTTTTTCTTCGATTTCACTACAAATGTGTACGAAATTTAAGGAATTGGAAATACCTTCCAGACGTTCAAGAGTTTACATCGCCTCGAATTTGATGAAATTCAAGCCAGTCAATTCTCTCTCATTCCGTCCTTCAACGCAATTTTACCAAATATTGCGATGAGGTGACTTGTTTCAAATTGAACGATATCAGACCAAATTCTTAGCACGTCTAAAGCATTCATTTTGTATTTTACTTTAGGTTCCCTTTAGTTTTACAACATTCCGACTTTGATAAATGTCAGTATA